TGGGTAACCGCGGTCGCCCACTGGAGCAGGTGGTCGATCTCCGTAGACTACGTTGGTTGGGACAAGTGTTACGCATGTCACCACGGCGAGCGATGTTCACCGAGGTAGGTAGTGAGTGGATGAAAGCCAAGGCTGGGCAAGCTAAGACCTGGGATGAGGGTATGAAAACCCTAACCAGGAGTCTGGGTCACATAAGGCCCGTTAGGCTCCCTGGCTGGGGACCTCGGGATGATCGTAATCGCTGGTTAGGCACACAGTGATACGGCTTAGTTTCATAAACAGTAGCGTTTGTGCATCATCTCAATTTCTCTGCAACATTGTTCTACTGAAATTCTCCATTTTCTATTCGACTCTCCTTTCAACTCTCCTGTCTTTTTCCTACTGTTCATTGAAATGGGCAACCAAAAGACGGCAACCCAAGCCGGTGCACGAAAGTGCATGGCTAATGGTTGTTTCAACTGAAACTGAACTGCACATTCTGCTCGATGCAATGGGCAGCGCCGTCCTGGTTATCACGTACGACGACTGATGCAGTATTTATTTTGTAAAAATAATTTATGTACATAGATATGAATTCTGAGTAATCCACTTTGAGAAAGAGTGGTTGCAATCACAATTATTCTTTCACGATTATAAAGACTTGGAAAAAATGACATAAGTACGATAAAGCTCAAAGAAGAATAAAACCACTTACCAATCAGGACATGAGGAGGTGAAATGCGCATTTGATCCGCTTGTTGTGTGATGGGAATCCCACCGACCAACAGAATGGCACGCAAACCAATTGCTTTACCCAAAGCTACAAACTGAGCGTGAACCTGAGCAGCTAATTCGCGCGTAGGAGCCAAAATCAGCGCAAAAAAAGGATGGGGAGAGTCCAAAAGTTTCTAGACGAACCTATCAGTTTGTTTATGTTACAGACGACTACAAACCTGGATGATGGGCAGTGCATAAGCCCCAGTTTTTCCCGAACCGGTTTCTGCCAGAGCCACCAAGTTTCGGCCTAATGAACATCATTAATAGCTGAAGTAAGATTAGCATACCTTCAAGAGCCGGAGGAATGGACAAAGCCTGAATAGCCGTGGGTTTCTCCCACCGCATTTGATCACAAGCTTTCCGGATTTCGGGAGCGAGACCCTAATTGTAACGAAAGGTTATCACACCCATACATACCATTGTCGCAAACGTAGCGTGATCTGCCATCATTGTAGGGGAAGATTATCCAACCCACTGAAAAGACTGAAATAGAATTTAAAAGATATTATTAAAAAATGAAACCAAAAACGCCACTAGGGCACTCAAGATTACATCTACTCCTACAACGGGACATTGAATTGTCCAAGGCCACAGTTTTTTGTCAAGCCTTTGGTACAACTTTTTTCGTCACTTATTGTAACCAAACGAAAACATAAATACACAGGGAATACGTAACTTTCTTTCAGCAATTATGATAGCATTCAACTGGCGATCACACTATGTGATATTTACGCCGTACAACACAACAAAATCTCCCCGCCCCACCCTGTCGCAGTGGTCATTTACTTTACTTTATGGCAGAGATGACTCCTGCGAGAGCATAAACCGGCTTCACTGATATTCCAATTTTCGGCAACCTATGATAGATGGTTGGTAGCAAGCTCTGTGATTAGTGCGATCCGGTCCGACTTCTATCGATGAGTGTCGAGTACGAAAGGAAAACCAATGTACACTGTCTCCAGATCGTTAGCAAAACATGTTCATGAATAAGTGTTATTCATTGTCTGGCTGTTTAGCATGTATGCTTGAGTGCACAGTAGACGCTATCGATTGCTTAGAGAATTCGCTCCTACTCGCTTTACCTTTTCTAGCTCAGATTCCTTGAGGATCGTCAATATTCTGAGGTTCCTTCTTCCAATAGGTTTTCCACCTTTGTGTTGAAACAACCTCCGGCGAGCTTTGGAAATATTGATAGGTGCACAATTTAGTGCCACACTTTTGACCGCCAAGCTTTCTGTTTACAGATAATCTCATCATCTTTATCATCGACATACGGCCAAATACATAGAAGGATTTGCTGAGCGCTGCCGAACTCAGTATATACAAAAAGTAAGGATCCGTAAGGTGCATGGGAATTGGGTCTATTTTGAGGAACGGGGAAAGAGAGCGAACCTCCATGATCAACATAGAGTACACAGTCTAGCTGTGCATGCATACCTCTTCAAGCATCTTGATTTGATAAAAACGACAAAAAAGACACTGCTATTGCTTTGCTGTTATGTACTTCATTGTCTCCAAGCCACTAACCGATTACGGGGTCCATGGGACCCCAGCCTGAAAGGCCAGAGAAATCTACTCTATCACATTAGCCTTAGTTTGATTGGGGTGCAGGGTGTCTTAGGCTGCGGCTGGTCGCTCTTCCATTACATCCAAAGAAATGCTCCTATACGACCCCGCGTCTCAAACAATCTAAGTTGAGGAAGCCTTACTCACTACCTTCACGTGATAGAGGTGTTTTCCCCACCAAAGTGAGGGGACGAAAAGCCATTATTCGGGACTATAATCGGGTCCGTGAACTGCTGGCAATTCACCTAGGAAAGTTGGCTAAAATACATGATTCCAAACCAACCAAGAAGAGTTGTGCGAAACAGGCCTACCCACACCTTCCTGGTTGTGGTAGTGGTCACCGGCTTGACTGGGTATCGAGGTGTATTGGGCACCTTGGACGTTTGACCCCGTCCAATGGTCGTCTGATCCGATGAACTGGACACCGGGTCCCAATGGATTGCGGTTTTCACACACTACTCTGCTATCTTACAGGCCAGGCTTTGGCTAAGCGCAGGCTCCGGTCTTGACTTTATCAAGAAACTTCACCTGCTTTGGTCTGGACAAAGTGGGAGTATTCCGTCCACAAACAAATGATGGAGCTTTCTCTTTTTATAAATATTGTTGTACTATGATCCGTTCGGCAGTCTAGATTCAGACGTGTGTAAAATACAATACACAAATATGATTCTTATTTGGGCAGCTACATCTCACCTGGCGAATGCGTCATAGATGAAGTGTTGGCACGCATACGGAAGGTTCGGTTGGCATTTGCCAACTTAAGACACCTGTGGCGCCGTTGCGACATCCGGCTGTCTGTAAATTGTCCAGTGTATGCTGCAGCAGTTCGGCCGGTGCTGCTGTACGGTGTAGAGATTTGGCCATTACGGGAACAGGATAAAAATAGGTTGTCTGTGTTTGAACGCCACAATCTACGCCGCATTGCATGACTCTGGTGGGGAAACCGGGCAAGCAATGCTGAGGTTTCACGTCATCGCGGTCGTTCACTGGAGCAAGTGGTTGACCTCCACAGATTACCCTGGTTGCGACGTATGTTGCGCATGACATTAAATACATGGCCAATATATATATATATATATATATATATATATATATATATATAT